CAAACAGGAAATAAGGTCCCGTTTCGCATGTTCTCAACACAGATTTATGTGTTTGTTGTTGTATAATCTGAGTGGCCAACAGGAAATAAAGTCCCGTTTCGCATGTTCTCAACACTGATTTGTGTGTTTGTTGTTGTGTAATCTGAGTGGCCAAACAGGAAATAAGGTCCCGTTTCGCATGTTCTCAACACAGATTTATGTGTTTGTTGTTGTATAATCTGAGTGGCCAACAGGAAATAAAGTCCCGTTTCACATGTTCTCAACACAGATTTGCGTGTTTGTTGTTGTATAATCCGAGTGGCCAACAGGAAATAAAGTCCCGTTTCTTCCTAAACTTCCCTTTCACATCACAAACTTACACGCATTACGATCTTGTGAGTCAAGAAATAACGCCATTAAAATATGTGATACAATAATCCAATTTGTTTGGTCAAAATTGACATGAATAATGAGCTTCACTGAATTATAAAAGATTGGCCACTAAAGCGAGCAAAGAAACTATGAACTTGTTCATATTGGACCACAACAGTGTTCTGTGATTGTTAATTAACTGTTGCACCTGCATAACACTTTATACCCATGCAAACAACTGATAAGTAATTGGATATCACTGAAATATCCTGAATTTCTATTTCAACTAAGTCATTTTCCAATTACTTTCTCTTCTCACTGGCCTCCCTAGTTGCTCAGCTTTAGGGATTATAATGCTGAAAATCCGGGTTGATTTGTTTTGTTTTGAACTTCGTGTAAAGCTACAAGGGCGCTATATGAGCTAGCCGTCCCCATATTAGCAATGAGAGACTAGAGGGAAGACATCTAGTCAAAACCACTCACCGCTAACTCTTGGGCTACTCTTTTACTAACGAATATTGGGATTGACCGCAACGTAATAATGCCCCAGAGCTGAAAGTGCGAGCATGTTTAGTGACGGAGATTCGAACCCGCGATCCTCAGATTGCGAGCCGACAGGGTTGGATTCCCGCTGTAGGCACAATGCTGGTAGACCTTTGTGTAGTTTTGTACGATTTACAAAACTTATGGCGGTATTCAACCGACCTATCCATGTATGATCATACTAATCTCTTAGACATACAGCTTCGACCAAAGATTTCGATTTATTGATATCTTGCTTATTCGAGTAAGGTTTTATCATAACTTAGCAAAGCAAATAAATAGGATAACTCGCTTACTCGAGTATAATATACGCTGATGTGAAAGAATTTGTATAGTGAATTGTCTGCAAGACACAATTTACACACACGCATATATATATATTCTTAACTTCAGAATGTACATTATTATTAGGGATGCATGGGTAACCGGCCAGATATTCGGCCCCGGCCGAGTGTCGAAGTTAAAAACAGCCGAATCCGGATAATTGAAAATGACATCTAAGCCTTAATCTTTGTGGCAACTAACGCGGTACTGAAAGTTACAATCAATAATTGGTTTAGTTAAAAAAACAAATACTGACCGCCCGCTCAAAGTCGGGGATTCAGAGAACAATACGGAACGTGGGGCTTTTAAGAACAATAGGGGTTAGGGTTTGAGAAGTTGGGGCTAGGCATTGAAAGCAGAAGAGTTGGCGGTGGGTGGTGATGACTAGCTGCCTTCCCTCGTGTAGCTTTGCGCGAAATTCAAAACCAACCAAGACTTCTGTTTTCATGTTCTCTTTTGTGAGAAAGGAGACTCGCATAGTCGATAGAGCTCGCTGTTACGATAGCGAAAGGCGAGGCACATGAGTAATATCGTCTTACAACTTTATCATAAAAAGATTTAACTATAACTACACCGAATCATTAAACCAAGATAAACATCTACCTATTACCAAAACTGACTGCCAAACGTGGTAGAGTGAGAGTGAAGTATATATTTTCAAACTAAACACAGAGGTTGTACCACAAGAAATCCTGAAAACAACATTGCCACAAAAAAGTCCATGTGACTATGATAAACTACATTCGGCCTACATCTCAATGTGTTTATCTTCTTATGGCTTTGTAAGTGTGTAAATACAGACAATATAATGTCGTTATTACACTCGACCAAGAACAGAATTTGAACGTATAAAAGCCTCGAGCTAAAACAGCTAGCTAATTTGTTTTTGTTCCTTTTCTAAACTTAAATCTACAAGTGTGTGAAACTAGCCCAGTCGAAGGAAACTAACTGAGATACAAGTTGTGCTCACAATACTACATGTTCTCAGTACAAAACAACAACAAGAGCTCGCTGACTCGTAAAGGGCTAATACATATACGAAGATGATATTATATGAAATTATGCTCATTATTCATCCTTATTCGTAGCTTCAGACGTCTAGATACACAGATAGACATACACCACTTCATAAAGCAGAGAATTTTCGAATAAAATTTTTAAATAAATTTCCATTTCAGCTAAGAGAAGCATCAATCTTATGACTTTCCAATTCGTTTTTGTCAGGTTTGTTCACAATTCAATATTTCACGTCTTCCTATCTAACCATTTTTCTCAATCTTGACGACTTCTAACACCTTTTCTTTCAATCTATAAATTTCAAAAAGTCCTAAATTTTATGAAGCTCAAGTTAAGAAAGAAGTCGCATTTGACAATATGGCGTATAGAAAAGGTTAATTCCCACATACGGCAGATTTAAATACAGGTAACCGAAACATCGAATTAACAAGATAATTGGAGATGTTGATGTCTGAAGTAATACTGCTTCGTCACGCATAACAAACAGAAATGTAGGCATCAAGACTGACTGAACCAGTAAAATGAAAGTGCTGGAAAAAATGTGACGTCAAAAACAAGTAGAGAGAAATTAAACACAAACCATCTACTACAGTCTTGAAGAACGTTCACTATTCTGTATGAATGTTTGTCAGTAGAACAGAATATTTTTTCTTCAGCTATAGGCCTAATAGGATGTTAATTATAGAATGCACCTTTTCTATTTCTTTTTTAGGTTTGCATGTTGGTCATTAGAACATAAAGAACAAGAGTATACATCATGAGAAGTTTGCTCGGTCTTCGAACATCTTTATTTAACATATATTATGTTCCCCTTACTTGAAACACGGTAAAATTGAATCTTTGAAGGCAGAAGACTATCCCTTTCACTACTGTTCTGTATGTCATACTATCCATCCACAAATATATTCTTGAGCGTACGATGCTACCCGCTTCAGCTACTGTGTGTGTGTCAAAATTTTGACTTGCATCCTCAACACAAACAAGCCATTTTGGATGCGTGTTGAGGATGCAAGTCAAAATTTCGACTACAAGTTGGATCAATGCTTTATGTCCCCGATGGCTCGTCACAGCTTATAACTAATACCAGTGACCTCCTTAAGCATTTCACGCAACTGTGGAAGGTCAAAGTGCAACATCGCCTGCTTAAACGTTTTTCCTTCTAAACATTTGAACTTTATAATAAAGTTCTGAGTTCTTAATGAGAGTAGACAGCAGTTGCATTGACAATTATCTCACTTTTCTGTATATACGTGGCGTCTAAAACCAGGACTGAAATATAATTGTTCTAGTAGCTTCCACAGTTCTATGCGACTGTTTATTGTTTTTACTATCCAAAACACTTTTGTGGCACGTCTTGGAAGATTGGTGTAGGATGTTGGTTACAACCCTTTTGCAGAAAGAATGGCATTTGGGTTTTCTTAACCAGCTCATGAAGGAAATCCAAAGCATTCCTAAATCGTCTATCCACAACAGACATGTTGTGGGATGTATGCAGGTGCAAGTGTTTTCGATATCTCAAAATACGTGATGAGTCATTGTTATATTTTTATTTAACCATCAACAATATACGGTTTGTTTGTTTGTTTATAACTTAGAAAAGGATTATTGCTGTTTGAAGTTAAGGACAAAGCTACACAATGAGCTATCTGCGCTCCGCCCAGCACAGGTATCGAAACCCGGTTTCTAGCGTTGTAAGTTCATGTTGCTTAGTAGAATATAACATTTTTTACTTCATCTGTAGCACTAACTATTAGTTAGTAGAACAAAGTTTTATCTTCACTGGTAGTTCCTATATGTTGGTTAGTAGAATATAACTTTTTTTACTTCATCTGTAGCACTAACTATTAGTTAGTAGAACAAAGTTTTATCTTCACTGGTAGTTCCTATATGTTGGTTAGTAGAATATAACTTTTTTTACTCATCTGTAGTACTAACTATTAGTTAGTAGAACAAAGTTTTAACTTCACTGGTAGTTCCTACATGTTGGTTAGTAGAATATAACTTTTTTACTTCTCTGCAGTCGTACATGTGGGTGAGTAACATATATGCTGTATTTTAATTTACCCTAATTATTAGTTAGTAGAACAAAGTTTTAACTTCACTTCTCAACAACAACAATAAATTATCATGTAGTATTTAATTTATAGTTACGCAAGGACTAGCTTCATTTGATGACACTACAGTTTTACTGATTACTTTTTAAATATCAAACATACCTCATCTATTTACATAATTTAATAAGTGTATGGAGAATTCTTGCTCGAGTAAGCTAGTTAGCTTAATTAAATTTTACTAGATGTATGATAAATTCTTTACTAACGGTGTCATATTTTGTTCCTTATTCACAATATTCTTCAGTTTTAGTTAAGTAGACGTGTGAAACCCAAGAACGTAATCGATGCTTTTATCATGATCGAGCAGGTTGCATTACTAGCATTTATAACTAACAAATCAGTCTAGATTTTAGTTGAGGTTTCTCGATCTTAACGCCATGCGCCCTCTAGCTAATATTTAAATAAAAACACTGGAATATAGCTTACAACAATATATTAAAACACTGAACTAGTTAACAAATACTACTAATAGATAGACAGAAAACTGTTTATTACAACTAATACTACTAAATAGCATGTAACAACTAGCCCAATAGTTGACTCACATAACATTATATAGTGAAATACAATGAGGATAACATTAAAGAAAGTAGATTAATGCACCGTTCTAAAAAAAAATAGTCTAAAGTTGGAATATCGGGCCAAAATAGGAAACAAGACTGCAACTAGCCGTCACATTAACGTCTAAAGTTGGAATATCGGGCCAAAATAGGAAACAAGACTGCAACTAGCCGTCACATTAACGTCTAAAGTTGGAATATCAGGCCAAAATAGGAAACAAGACAGCAACTAGCCGTCACATTAACGTCTAAAGTTGGAATATCGGGCCAAAATAGGAAACAAGACTGCAACTAGCCGTCACATTAACGTCTAAAGTTGGAATATCGGGCCAAAATAGGAAACAAGACTGCAACTAGCCATCACATTAACGTCTAAAGTTGGAATATCGGGCCAAAATAGGAAACAAGACTGCAACTAGCCGTCACATTAACGCTTAACGAGTCTCTGATTTCTGGAAATGGAATAATATGAATGAATAATACAGAAAATGCAATGCTCACCAGTGGTAATTATGTGATGCCATTGATTTCCTTATGCTGTTTGGTGTGAGGAGTACGTTATGATGGCTCCTTGAAATGGAAAGGAGGAAAACAGAATATATAAATAAAAACGGAATTAAATTATCACGAATAAATAAATCACGATAAAGAAATAAATAAACAAATTTTTGAACATATATATTTTCCATCAGTATTTCAACTTACAAAAATATATGTGCACATCAACAGGTTCCCTAATTTTAAACAGCTGGGGAAAAGGGCAGTTTGCCAGTTGCACCCACATTATAAGAATTTTTGTCGAGCTTTCTAAACCAAATAACGAGAATGGCTGTTACTTTTATAATGTGCCCATAAATGAAAGTTGAGAACATATTCAATGGTATCACTTCTCGAACCCAGGAACGCTGATTTGGTACACATGCATGGATATAAATAAAATAAATTGATACAACAAAGGAAAAGCTAATGAAAGTGTTAAAGAAACAAAACTTTTTGTTGTTATTGAACGTTGGGAATCAACACTTATAATTCAGTTACTTCAACCAACAAGATGGCCGACTTCTTCAGCTTTGACTTAAATTCTAACCTCATCTGTACTAGTATGGTGAAAATAGCAAACCCAGAAGGTTTTCGTTGACATTAAGTGGATGATATAGCTAGGAAAAGCAAAGGTTGGGGAATCAAGAGTATATTATACAACCAGAAGGTCACTGGTAACATCGATAAAGTACCTCTCCTTTTGACAGCTGGTCTCCATTCACACGAGGAGTCAGCACATCTCCTGATGCCTTTTCGTACTCAGTTGTTCTATATATAGCATCTACATAATGCAGATGTTAGTGAATATGATCATATGTATAAGGTAGACCGTACTATATCTTGAAACTAGACTTTTGGAGATAAATTACTTAAAAAACAACAACAACTATGTTTGTATTTCATTTTCTTGTAAAAGTGTTACTCGAAACGTTGTCAAAAAATAAAATACGTAGTTTTTGAGATGATTTATCTCCAAAAGTCTTATCACCTTCGCATTTTTTTACTTATTTATTCACGTACTATATATATATATATTGTACTTACATGAAGCAAATTCTAGTATTTGTGGTCTCTATATAGAATAGATTCTTCTGAATCTAGTTTCTAGATACAACTCTATCTACATAAGGTAGATCCTAGTTAATATGCTTTCTATTTAACGCAGTTGTTAGTACATACAGTCTCTACAAAAGACAGCTTATTGTATACTTGGTGTTAGTATAAGGTTCATCTTAAGTGTATTTAGTGTATATATAAAGCAGAACCTTGGTATATGATCTCTATGTACGACAGAGTGCACTTTGCATAATTTCTACACCAGGCAGATTTTGTTCAGTTTTCAAAAAGATGACAAAAAATTACTGTTGAAAGAAGTGAATTTATTGAAACATTTTGACAAAAACAGTTTCATTCAAGCTTCAAACAACGAATTTTATAAATGCATTTAATATCGACATATATTTCCAGATTTTTATACCAGAAACACTGTTCGAATAAATATAATTGAGCTGGAAGTATTTTCATATCTGTCACGTCAAAATCCAAATCATCAAACATAATTCAAAATTAGTTTTCCCAATACTGAATAGAACGCGAGTATAAACAATAATACACTTTGTTACAAATTTCCCTGACACGAGCATTGTATACATTAATATTTAAAACTCTGAACCTAGTTGTTTCAAATATTACATATGAAATTCATTCTAATTTATTGTGTTAAATGACACTCATTTCCTCGCGCATTGGAGTTTGGACATATCACTAGTAATACATTAGCAAACACTACAAGATAAAGATCTGAACTATCATGATTCAAGTATATTGTCTTCAGAACGTTAATGAACCGAAAAATGCGAGATAAATATTTTCAGGTAATGGCCACCGATATAAGCCTGTAATCATATCTATAAATATGTATACATATATACTTTAGTTTTAATACACAAATTAATTTTTGGAATAAAAAGGAATTTAACACAGGTCACCACAAAAGTAAACAATAAATAAAAGAGAGAGAGAGTAAACATCTTTCGCATTTTTCCCCACGTAATTACTTCAAAGAGAAAACTTTTGATTGCAACAGCATTATAATAAACTTGGTTGATATATCAGTAGTGCTGTAACAAACACGTACTAAATAACAATTTGAATAATCAGAGAATACTATTTTAATAATCATGACGACATTAATCGTACGTGTCTCAGGTAGTAATATTCAATACCATGATATACCACATATTTTCAATCGAGTCCTGATACAAAAATTAAACAAGCTAGTATTAAACATACACGTATTAGTAAAGCATGTTTTTCCTTGTCTCGATTATATATACGAGTAAACTATAAGAAAGTGTCTGAAGGTGATAACATATAACGAAAATAAAATTTGTCTTCAAATGCTTTATGAAAGATATTTTTCTTATTATATGTGTTGCACTAAATTCTTCTAGCTCTATAGTTTCAATTTTTTATACATCTCACGCCTCAAAATTCCAAACTCTTTAAACCAACCAATAAGCTGGACTTGGAATGTTTTCTTAAGCTGTACGTTTAAATAGTTTGTTACAATGTATCTTCGCGGAAATGTTCGTATCTGTTAGAACATAACTAACATCACCTAACACTGCTGAATGATTGATCACAAAGCACTATAGCCTTGTGCTACCGAGATTTTCCAACTATTAATCAAAACAATCGAGACGTTTAACAATAAAACACAAAAAATACATTAGGTAATTCAAAATGTGTTAAAAAAACACACGGCAAACTAAAGTACACTACTGGTTGTCTCAGGTATTTGGTTATAAATTATATTACAAATATTAGGATATTTGAAACCATCATTGAAAGAAATATTAACTATAACTCAAATAAATCAAAGTTAGTTACAAATTCACTAACATTAATACACAACATAATCAATCATCATAGATATTATGTTCACAGGATTTACATCAACATAAAACCATATCCAATACATGAATTAATAATAACAAATGAAAAACCAATTTCTCACGTAATATAGATACATAATCAAGTCATGCCATCTAGGGACAATATTAAAAAGTAACGCTACAAAAATTTGGTTTTAATCTAGATATTAAACAACTATGTACGCATCGATCAGCATAACATTTCCAAATACTTAAAAAAAAGTTTAAATGTGTCAAACAAAAACAAACAAAAGGTGAAGAGTTCGGAAAAAAAATATCAAAAATTCAAAGTTACCAATATCCTTAGCTATTTAAAAAGCAGTTAAATATTAAAACAAGATAGTCAAAATAAGATATATAGAAAATATTTATTCCGTAATTTCTAATCCACTTACTTTAAAATATCAAAAAAAATAATAATAACAACACATACAATATTATTTATTCCAAACAACAGATGAGATACGCTTCGTTTATTTTAATAAAGAACACTAAGGTTTATGCACAACCCAACATCTCCTTGAATAGATACGCTTCGTTTACTTTAATAAAGAACACTAAGGTTTATGCACAACCCAACATCTCCTTGAATAGCAACTTTATAGCTAAAAGTATATATATTATTTTTGAGAAACGAAAGTTTTGGTAAAAGTTTCCGATAACGCTTTCCCAGCATACAGTTAAAATAAAATTTGTTTTTGTTTTTTTTATTTGGAAGACGAATTTACATTGATTCCAAAAATGGATTAATTAGTATAAAAATAAAACGAACAATAACGAAAACACTATTATTTAATTTTCAAAAAATCAAAAATTTTTGCGATATCAAACACATCACTTAATTTAAAAAAAAGGAAATTTATATTAAATGCAAATTAATACATCATTGTCTCTTTCACAAAAGAATAGCTGCATCTGTTTTATTAAATATATTTTTAGATTTTTAAACGCGAGTAAAGCAACGAAATACTGTGCAAAAAAAAACCTGTAAAAGTGTAGACATTAGTTTTACACGTAGTATTTTCTTCCCCTCTAACCTAGAACCAATGTAAAGTTTATCATGCTTCATAATACTGAACAATAGGACTTTTCTGTCACATATCGCACTTGAGTCACGTAGCATCAGAAGAAACTATTTTTTTCCAACACAAAGTTTTAATAAGAACTGAAGACTTGAAACAATCCACTGTACGATTATGTGATTCATCAGGTTGGATGGTCAGTTTATTTTCTCCGACACGCAATGAATCACAAGCGTCTATAATACAAATTTCAATGGTTTCTCTTATTCTGGGTTAAGGTGTCTCAGTTCTTTAGGATCTTGAGCGTCTTTCCGAACATACATAGGGTTTTCAAAAGTGGAAAACTTCCGCCCGAACCTCATCCGGACAGGATACTTCTTCCGATACACGATCACTACTATTACAAGAATCACCAAAACCCCAACTAAACTACTGACCCCGACAATTACCATTAGCATTGTAAAGGTCAAACCAGAATCACTGTCTCCACGTTTAGTTTCTCCCACCTGAGCGTGCTCGGAAGTCAACTGAGATTCCGGTTGCGGCTGGACTCGAGGGTTAACGTGGAGTCTAACTACTTGGTCATCTTTAAGGTCTTCCTTGTCATCCGTCTTGGGCGGAACAACTTGCTGCTTACCAGGACTCGACTTGCTCTGTGAAGATGAAAAACATATTTAATTTCTAATAAAATCAAAACCTATAGTCTCTCCTCGGCGGGACAACCCACTACTTGCTATGGACTTAGCATAATTTATCAACATTAAAAAACAAAAAAAGCGAACCAGTTTACAGCTTAAGGTAAATGGTATCGCCGACTTTTGCAATTACTCTTCATTCCCAGTTCAATCAGTTACCACATAGTTTTCACCAGTGATAACAGTGTTACTAGCTGAAACATGTGCAATACTTGATAAATTGTCAACCTATAATATTTTCTTTCTTTTGATATACGATTACATTTACATGTTTACAGTAAACAGTCTTTGCTTGATAGCTCGCGTGTGAATTTAAATTATTTATTATTGGGAGGTGAAAGTTTTCACGTTTGTCTTAATTGTGAATTGAAGGAAGATGTTCTAAGTTTAATTTTCGCTATTTTCCTGAGTGTTAATGTTTATAAATGTTTTAGGAAGTTTTAATTATGATGTTTGCATATTTGAAATATGTATACCTAATTTAAAGGGGTTTAACAATCTGGTATTGGACTTAACTAAATAAGATTTATAATTTTACATAATTTTTTCTCCGCCTTTTTATATTTATTAGCAGACCAGGCGAGTTGCGTTTCGCTTACCCATCCTTCTGCTCAAAATTGGCACACCTACGTTGTAATTATGTGTATAGTTTGAGGCTTAAAAATGTGCTTCATAGTAAGGATATGTGCACATGTGATCTGTTCCTCCATTTTATTCCCAATCCGAATCCAGTTCTTGGTAAAAGAAGAATATGTTTCGTGTAAAAGGCGAATAAATCCATTCCAAAATCCGGATCCTTCAATGTGTAATGTCAATTTTTCATTCCCGAATCCAGTTCCTGGTAAAAGACAGATACATAAATCTTCCCCCATATCCAAATTCTTTATATGCAATCTCTAATACTGTATATCCATTTATCCACTTTGATCAGTCTTTTACCCACACCCGATAAATGAATATCCAGCTGACTTTAAACGCTTTACTAAAGAAGATACCCAGAAGACATGTTTACTGTTTTTAAGTCACAAAGTGAATTTAATGAAATGTTTTTAAATATTTAAAAAACAAGCACTGAAACATGATTTACAGTTGGGTGTGCATAAGATTTTAGTTTATTTTGGATAACCTGATATACAATCAACAAGATTGTTTTAATACAGACGTATACAGTAAACCGGTCTTTTCATACGTGACTATTCTTATTTTCATAGTTTTCTTCCTGGAGTATTTGAAGTAAACTTTGTAGTGACTCGTACTTACATGACTTTAATAAGTTATTCCACGCTACGTGATGAAAGAATGCGCATTAAACATTTTTGAACGCAATGAATTTGATAGTAACTTCATTAGTTATAACATCATCCAAGAACTGACTACTAATAAAGATTTAAAGTTTGATGTACCTAGGATATCAACAGTAATGACGTTACCATATTTAGGGCAACAATCACAGTATACTAAACAAATTTCGTTTCAATCCTGATCAGAAATTATCCACACATATAAATTAGGTTTGTGTTGAAGCTTGTTACGAGATCACGCAATGACGTTGTTCTCAGGCCTCGGATTGTGAATCAGAAGACTCTTTTATACAAAGGCTTCTTTCATCATTGGCCCTAGCTAGAACTGGTTGTGACGACTACGTCACAATCTCCAAGGTCACTAGATTTGATGGGTGATCTGAAATTAGTGTTCTTTTACGAGTATTATTAGTTTCCTTTTGATAGAGCCAATATAATAATGCCAACAGCGAGGACAAGTAAATTTGGAAACTACTAAGGACAACTGTAACATAGGAATATGGTCTTTAAATTTGAAAAAAGACAAGGCGATAATTAGGTTTGAAAATACACCCTAACTGTGCTTGTGGGTAATAACCTATGAATGACTTGTCTTGGTTAGCTCTAAGTAATTAACGAATATTTACACATAAAAGGTAGACCAATAACAACAGGGTATTTATAGACTTCAACTGAAATAATATTCCACAAGTTTATATTATACGAGTATTCACAAAGTATTTTGTCAATCATTTCAACAGGGAACATATCTTTGCACAAAAAATTCTTGATGATAAATTCTTTGTGCATATACCTTCGTACGTGCTAGATATTTCAAACGTACAATGAAATAGTATTTTAATCAAATTTTCTTTTTTTTAAAAGACATTCAGAATAAAACTTTCAAAATTCATCAAGCATTGCACGTCATGTTTAAATTAATTAAACACTTGTCATTAGTGATAATAATGAGAAGCAACTGGGGGTTCGTGAGTCTAACAACTGCGAACTTAAGCCTAGATTAAACTTACAAATTTCGGCGACTCCTTTTCTCCTAAGTTGTAAGCTGTTATTTTTTTTTCTTTCAATGCATGCTTATATTTCAATATTTACTGAAGGATCATTATTCAATTTTTAATAAAACCAAAACCTGACCTATGCGACGCTTACAATGATTCTGTTTACTCTTTTAAGATAAACGGGTCATTATATAATGTAAAATACCATACACCTAAACTACAGCCCTATTTGGGGGCATAATCTGCAGCTTGCCGGTACCTTAATTTTACGGACTTCGATTCCCCTCCATGAACAAAACGCAGATGGCCCATTATGTGCTTTGCGCTAAAAGTATAACAACAAACATGACAAAAACATTCAATGTTTTTGTATCGTATTCTATTGTTTGACAGGTTCGTTAGAATTAGCTCATAAAAATAAGTCCAGTCTATGTAATGATAACGAATTAATATATTTCTTCAATAACGTTTGCTACATGTTATGTTCACCTTGACGCAAGTTGTAGGCCTAGGTTCGCAAACAAACTTTCAACAGAAATGTTTAGCAGCAATTTATTCAATTGCTAACAAACCTAACGAACTTACTAATTAACTTTACTCAAACAGTCTTCTATCGACCAACAACTACTCGATCTTCATTCAGTCACTTGCCAATTACTACCAAATAAATACTTCACTCTATAGCTTTTCATTCACTATTCAATCATTGAACTAACTGCTTATTCTTACTATATCTATCGTATCCTAGTCTACCTGAAGACTTCGTTAACACTAGATATAGTAGTTATAGTGTAGTTGATATATTACTATACACTAGTTTTACTTCCACTTATTAATAATTACTAATGCAGTCTTCTCCCGTCGACGCTGTGGTCGCTTGACTCACTCCGGAATCGAAAAGACTAGCATTCTGGTTTACCAGTTTAAGTAGGTTAATTCGAGAATATGATAATAATATTCGGTGTTAAAATAATTAAATACTATAGTGTTAAATAATCCTTACCCTAATTCTGATGTTCTGTGACATAAAGAAAAATTGATGAAAAAGTACACTTAACCAATTTAATCAAGCTGAGACCGTAACATCTGATAATACAGATAGCGTCTCAACAACTACCCAGTTGGCATGAAGATCCCTGATATTGGGCAAAATGTCTCATCGACATTGGATATAGCATTTATAGTATGATTCATGCTATTATACACTTTTATTTACGTCCACTCAGATCCCTCCTTGTAGGTTATTTAATAAGTGAAGCTCTTTCTAATAATTTGGTTTTAGTGCTACCAAATAAATAACTTAGGATTAAATAATACTTACTCTAATTTTGCTTTGTTGTGACATAATAAACAATTGATAGAAAATTACATTTCGAAATCTTAACACAGTTCACGCCGTAACAGTTGTTGTGAAGCATAGAATTAAATAATACTTACTCTAATTTTGCTTTGTTGTGACATAATAAACAATTGATAGAAAATTACATTTCGAAATCTTAACACAGTTCACGCCGTAACAGTTGTTGTGAAGCAGTTTATTATTATGTCAACAAGGTGGAGATGAAGCGTTTCTCTCACAACCTAAACTAATAATTAGTTTTCTCATTTGTGGGGAAGAGTGTTTATAAGTCCCGCCTCATTAATTTGTTAATTGTTTGCGGAAAGATAAGTTGATTAATGCGCTGTATACATGTTAAGAATTTAACATTAATATTAACACTATATTAAGTATTAAAATTTTTAAATGTTAGAACAGCAAACTTAGTGTTAAAATCATTAAAATATGAGTTAGTGTTTTAACATGTTCATGAACACATGAATAAACATTTAACATGTTAATACAGCTAGAAACACTTTATTAACACCTAAACGTGTATAAATAACAAAAACAAAAGTGTTAAAAATAATACATGTGTTTTGAACCTGGGTATGTGCGAGCCTCTTTCTTTCAGTACTTTTGAGATAAAACTCTGGTCATTCTAGCAAAACACATTGCAGTATCACATGCTCCAATGTCACAAAATACTATTTTCGCTGTTCATAAGTATGAAAAGCCTAGACGCTTCTTCATCTGCAAAATGTTGATTAAGAAAAGTTATTTTCTTGTTTACTTGCTGCTGAGGTTTTTGTGTTTAGCATTAAAATGTTAACAATAATTTTACATGTAAAGATATTTATCTTTCGATTTGAATACTGAAGAAAACTTGGCCTCTCTTAAATATTTAATTAGAAACTACTGTTTTTACTTGCATATATCAGGGATTTTACATATTTAAAAAAATGGGATACTTTGAACACCTACATTATCAATGAGTTTTATATTTGTGCCCTCACGTCTCTTATTGTTTTTTTTTATGCCACTTTCTTACCATTTTCATCTACGCACACCTACCACAAACACTTACCTCAAAATACACTGAATATCAATTGAAGTTTAGCCGTGTATTATAAGTAGCACAAAATGGTACACAGACATAGGCATCAAGCGGATCTTATATGCTCCTATTTCTATAATGCAGGACAGAAGTATTATACAATTACTACAATGAATTTTTCCAAGTTGTACACTAAATGCTTCAAATATAGCAAAATTTATGACCATGTCTAAAATAAGTGTACCTCTTTAAATAGGCCTACCACATGAAGACAAACATGACTCTATCCTAACTCATTGCCTTTTGTTTAAATGTGGTGCTAAGAGTTGCCCTGGAAATTATAAGCTAGTTCGTCTTACTTCTGCGCTGGAAATAATCCAAGACAGTTTGATAAAAGACTTTACAAAATCATTTAGTGAAATACAATGTTATAACTGAGAGCCAACAGGGATTCACGAAAGACAAATCTTGCCTTACTAATATATCTTTTTTTTTTTCGAGGACGTTACGTATTATGCAGACGAAAGAAAAAGTGTAGATTTGGTATACTGATATTTTGAAAAAGTTTTAATAATTGATAGGAATTGGGGAAAGTTAGTTAAATGGATTGTACAATGGATGGTTGAGGGAAAACAAAAGGAATTCAGTCAAACGCTACCCTTGTTACAAGTAGACTTCCTTAAGAGTCATTGCTTGGGCCTTTGCTCATACTTACTTACTCTAATGTTATTGATAAGAACATAATTAATCAATGACATTAAATTCTTAGCATTTCTAGTTGTATGTAGGATGTATAGGTATAGAAGGACTTGAATCAGTTGGTAAGTTGGCAAATAGCATTTAACTTTAGTAAATGCAAGGCAGTGTATTTGAGTTAAAATATCTTAGATTACACATTTAATATAGTAGCGTTACTGATGAACGAGATCTTGGCATATAGTGGCTAAGTAATGGTAATAGGGATAATGATTACAAGTCCAAAGAAGTAAATATATCTATACAAGTCATCGGTTAGACCTTATTTAGAATGCTGAATAGAGGTTTGTTGTCCTTATCTAAGAAAGAATATCGGATTATTTGAAATGGTTCAAAGGCTGGCTACTAGGATGATTTCAAGAATAAAAAGGTTATCTTACAAAGCTAGGTTAAGATCTACCAACTTATTTTTTCTTCAGAAAAGAAGGGTAAGAGGGACCTTACTGAAGTTTACAAGATTACTTAGGAGAATGTTACGATAAAGGCATTTGATCTCTTTGTGCTAAAATATGAAGATAATAGGACGAGTGGGCACAAGTTTAAGATTTGGAAGAAACAGGCTAGGCCCTAACTAAGACAGAGTAATTGACGAACAAACAAAGGTGAAATGGGCAACAACTGTCTAATTCAGAATGACACTTGTGCAAAACGTCCCAGAGAACTAATTTACAAAAGCAGCCCAGAGGGAATGGACAAGGTTTTGAAAGATTTTCGTCTTACGGTCCATTGCACTTGGATTAAAATAATTTGGATCACATATTTAATATAAATGGTAATCAACAGAAGTCTTACGAAATCTTGTTCTTTCCATCTGTGCTCCTTTTATAGATTAGTCCTCCAGGACTTTCTCTAAAAGTGTCACCCTGAACTAGGCTGTTGATAATCATTTCATCTATAAAAGGGTAACTGACTTATGGAAGGAGTTGCCGTCTGTACTAATCGAGAACCTGCACTTTACACGAGTTTAAGAGGATAATCGGTGATTTTCTGTAAAGTAAGGAGTGGGTGTAAAAGAACAGCTTTGAAGAATAAAAAATTTCCTTGCTGTTCATAGGTTATGTTATTTTAGTAGTTTTGAAAAAAAAGAGACAATATGGTGATTGAAATTAATATTAACGGTAAAAAGTATGTTTACCTTATTTTTCTTATGTCATTATTTCTTATTATTATTATTCAAATAAAATTATTTTGGTAAAAATAAAATAAGTGTTAATAGAAATATCTTTAATTATAATAAAAAATCGTAGTAGCAGGCCTACGCTATATTTTAATTTATATGTGTATATATACTTTAATGAACCCATTATACAAGCTTATAACAAGTATAAAAACATATATTAGATGGATAATTAGTTGATTAAAAGACTGTCTCAAATTAATTTTGATTTTCAGCAAATTAAATTAGCTACTCTCTCACGTTACCGACTTTTTACTTCTTATTACCCTCGTGAGTACAGTATATCGAATTTGAACTGTTCTTGTACCTCCTATATCAGACAAGCATTTTGTGTAGTCGCGTTTTAAGATATAGGTCAATATGCAACATGTCCGATAGTGGACCTTGGGGATTTCACTGTAAAGCAAGGTTGTAAACAGCTATATGTGAATTAAAGTAAAATTAGCTCAATACTCAAGGTGACATTGTTAAAGTACAAGAAGTTTTCACTAGTGAAGGTATATCCTTTTATTCTTATAACGTAGATGTAACGGAGGTTTTCCTGGAGCAGCTTGGAGTTATTGGGTCCACGAAGGTATCGTTTCAGGAGGTCTGTATGGTAGTAATGTAGGGTGCCAACCATATCTAATCAGGCCTTGCGAACATCACATCAACGGATCTCGCCCTCCTTGTGATGAGTCTCAGAATACTCCAAAGTGTGTGTCCATGTGTGAAAAAGGATACAACTCAACCTATTCTGCTGACAAGCATTATGGTAAGTACTATAATTGAGACATTGCTATGCTCCATCCAAGAAACTTCAAATTATATTAAGTATTTATCTTACAGGTAAAAATAATAATGTTGAAAATATTTTGAAAATCATCCGTTTGTTATTGTAAAACATTACTATTTCTTTTTTTAGGAAAGTCGTCTTACTCAGTATCATCCAGTATTAATCAAATCCAGACCGAAATAATGAAGAATGGGCCGGTAGAGGGCTCCTTCACAGTATACTCTGATTTTATCAACTATAAGTCTGGTAAGAGGCTTAAGTATAATGAGTTACAGAAAAAAGGTCAAAGTTAAATAGATAGGTGTTAATATCTATGACTAATTACTGACTATTTTTTATTTCACATGTTGCGCTATATCTACTCTATTGAAGTAGGCATTAAAATAATATCTTGGAAATTAACTTTAAAATTCGACGGAAACCTTTTACTGAATTCTGCTAACTTACTTATTTATTTTAATATTAGGCATTAGCATAGTATTATTTTAATGAGACGTTGTATAAACGTTTCTTACCGAAACGTCATTATTCTCAGGAGTCTACCAGCACCATACCAGTGAAGTTCTCGGAATGCACGCTATCCGAATCCTCGGTTGGGGAGTTGAGAACGATACGCCTTATTGGCTTGTAGCAAATTCTTGGAACACTGACTGGGGTGATAAAGGTATTTCTTATTAAAAATTTCTTTAGTTTGATAAGATGGCGTCTGAAATGTAGGATGCTGTAAATAAATACGTGGCTTATATAACACCCGCGCGACTGAAACAAGCCTGACATTCTGTTTCATCTTGGATTTATCTGTTTTTATTCCATTGTTTACAAACATTGATGTCACGGTAATATTTAAATGTTTTGTTCTCATGAATCTCCTCACATCTTTAAACATATAAGTATCCCCCTTGTTTCCACACAACCTTACAAACATTGATGTCACGGTAATATTTAAATGTTTTGTTCTCATGAATCTCCTCACATCTTTAAACATATAAGTATCCCCCTTGTTTCCACACAACCAGATGCGAGTATCATTTATATTATTAGCTCTCTACATGTCTACGTACTCCATACATTCTTATATTAACGTTCTTATTATCTTTAACATCCGCACCATGTTCAGTATCATTTTCTCACCGTCTTATTAACATTACTCAGTTCTTTACATTCACCCAAATTTTACACCAAGTATCCATATTCATATCACAGATATCCATTTCTTTACCATCCATTCGTGGACTAACGCCCCTTACTCATCCTCATGTTAACAATATTCATTTCTTTATCATGAACACGCGTACGAACTTCCCCTCACTCATTTTTATGCTAATAACATTCCTTTGTTCCGCTCACTCATACGCCCATTTTTTATTTCCATCCAAATGTTCGCATCGATTTCACCATAAAATATACTCACAGATCATCATGTTTAATGTTGCTTTTATTTCAAACAATTCGTATATCAAATATTTTATTATCCATTTATTAACATGTTAAAATTATTCAGTTTTCATTATTTCTTGTTAAATGATTTATTATATATGTTAATACAATTTTATTTTCTACAATTCTTGTGTTAAGAATACTGTTTCATTTATCCTTTCATAAGTATGAAACATCATTTTCATCCGTTCAGTTGTTTGAATACTTTCTTAATTTTCCATATCCAGCCTCCGTGGACTAAGTGGTAAGCTTGAGGTTTTATAACGTAAAACTCAGGATTCGACAGCAGCAGTTGGCACAGTGCAAGTATCACTTTGTGTAGATTTACAAGTAATAACAAACAAAATATCTATTTTCATATTCGTAATATCACGGTAATTTTCATCAAACACTTTCTTATTTATTCGTTCATTCTCTTGTTCAAATCACTCGTATTTCTTTCGAGTTCAATTCTGATGAATTTTGTAATATTACTTCTTTCAGGATATTTCAAGATTTTAAGAGGAAAAGACGAGTGTGGAATTGAAAGCCAGATCTCTGCAGGACTTCCTAAGATCTAAAGATGAGTCCAGTGTATAATTCTCTGAAACACTAAGAAAATGCTAATAATATTTTTCTTTCATAATTTTCATTCTATTGCATAAAATGAGATTATTTTATGTCGTTTAAATACTTTGTTTATATTGTCAATATAAAAAATAAAGATTTTAGAACTATTGATGTGTTTCCGAATTACCTAATGAAAAGAGAATTGAAGCGTTAGTGTTAATGCAATCTATTTGTTTTCATTCTTGAAAATTCTGTATTTGAGCAATTATTTTCAACCATGAGCTGCGAATGTTTCATATCTTGACAGTTGTTCCATATACACCTGAAATGTCACGTGACTTGACTTTCACGAAACCTTCGGTTAACAGGTCCACTAACAAATCCGCTTCTATTAACCATATGTTACTCACAGCCGAGGATTTTCCCCCAATCACATTTTTTCTTTTACTATTAACAAATTTGTATCGTACGTACAATTTTCTTACATATAATTACATAGATGCTGATTCTGTAGTGTTCCAAAGCGCACTTGGCTAACAGGTAATTATGAAGTATCGCAGAAAGATAGATTCGAAGAGAATGTTTGCAGAATAATAAATTAAAGTACATTAAAAGGATTTTTACTATCAAACAATGAAGTATTCTTGTTGAATGTTGAGGTTCGACACTTACAGTGCAATTTACTGCACTTTTGCTGACAAGTTGGCTGACTTTTATACTTTCCAGTTTAAACTTTGGCTGCTGAAGTAAAGAAAAGAAATATCTCCGATTGACAAATACATAAATAATTATTTTAATACCAAACTATGTCATATCTAGGTCCTAATACAGTATCAAAAAATCCTAGATTACCTAAGTCAGTGATCATTCTCATTACTTATTTTCCATGGGAGATTAACTCCCAGTTCATAACAAGCTGTATAAACCCTTCCACCACCCTTCTACTTGGGTATACCTTATATCCATCAGGACAGGCGATACAGATAACTGGCCATATAAGTACAAGTTTTCTTGAATGCCATTTTCGTACGCAGACTTGGTCTGAGGCGATTATTGAAACAAGTTCCGAATACCTAGGTTCCGATTATGAGGATACGACTAAACATGGCGTATATGCGTGAAACAGTTTGAAAATAAAAATATTCCTGGATAAATTTTAATAGAGACATAGTTTATTCTAGTTACAAATGGATAAAAATCTGGCAATTTTCAACTGGGAAATTCCAAAACTCTAGGACTCATGGCATTTATAACAGTTTTTTGCTCTCATAATGAAGTGATAATAATAATATTGAGTTAACTCCTAAACTTTATCCTCTAATGTGGACAAACTATTGTGTTTACCCTCTACATGAGTCTGATCCCTGTGCATATGTTTCCTATGTAAAGCAGTTTCTTATATCTTTATATAGCTCCTATATAAGGCAGATCCTAGTATGCATGTTATCTCTATGAGGCAAATCATTTTAAAAGTAGATTGCAGTGTATATGGTCTCTTTATATAAGACAGATTGTATTACATATACTTACTACATAGGATAGATCCTAGTTTCTTATACTATGTACTTTAGGGAAATCCTAGTATATAAGTTATCTGTTGAAGGCTGTTTCTAGTTTTATAGATATAGATACATTTTCTACTTGAATGAGAATCTAGAGTGTATGATCTTTGTTAAAAGATAGTCATAGTGTTGTGTTATTCTCAGTTTCACTTATTTCCCATTGAGTAATTGGGGAGGAATCGTAGAATAACTGGGGGCCAGACAGAAGATGTATTGTGGAGAAGAAATCTGACTTTCTCTGATCTCGACTGAATTGAATACAAAGAAAGAGACTGGACACAAGCTGTGCACAATAAAACAGTCTTTATTTCAATTAAATAATAATCAATGTTAATGACAAGGAGAGAGATGTGGTGTTCAATTAATATATTTCAAGTTATAAGTAAATTGTAAAGTTATATGTGACGATTAGCTCTCAAAACTTCAAGTTGAAGTTAAAGTTAGGTTGAATAAAGTTGTCCCAGATAGAGAATGCATGGCATCATACACTAATAGCAACAGTGCCATTCTTCTGAGGGTGCAGGCTTTACCCACGTAATTGATAGTCACTCTCACTTCAAAATAAAATATGTCATATCCCCAGGGCATCACCCAACTTCTCAGTGGAAATGATAGCTGTTGTTTCTGTACATTGTATTTGATGTTATAGCAATCTCTCTCAGGGTAACATGCAAGTGACACCATTGTTGATTGACCTACTTTCATAAATAAGTTGGGGGAAAGGAACTTAGTAGCGCTCTTGAAAGACATTCCTTATTAAGAATCTATACTTAATATGAACAGAATATTTGAAAAAATTTAGATATCAACTAAGGAGGTAGGAAACACATGGTTTACCTGCATACTACATGTATATTCTCATCTTCAGGTGGTTTCTGATATTATTAACCATTTTACCAACTTGTTATAATTTATTCTTGTCAATGGCAATTACCACAAAGTACCAATCTTAATAACACACTGATGAATTTGTTTGGATTTTCAAAACTGAAATAAGGTTTACTGAAAATAAATATTTTCATTCAAATTTAAAATGGTGAATTTTCTTCATGCATTTAATAGTGACATTTCTCCCGAATTCTAAGCTGGGAGCAGTATTTGATTACATACAATTAAACTGAAGGTATTTTTATATCACTCACAGCAAAATCCAAATAATAACACATAATTGAAAATACATATTACTTATTAAAATATTACATTTTCTTTTATCCTTTCATATCATAATCTTATTTCATTTCCATTCATGCTTTAAAATACTTTATTAATACATGCTAATAACATCAATTTCATTTGTCGAGGGCCTGTGATTCAAGGGTGATCATTTATGGGTTTGGATAAAAAAGATTGATGAAAGCATCAGTCCATACTTAAGTGATGCTGTTGTTCAGCTACAGTTTCTCTGGCACTAATTTCAACAAGTTTGCTTCTGTAAACTGCTTAATGGTAGAGATTCACACACAATCTGAACCTGGAGATTCATCTTTAGGTATATTTATGGCTTTAGTATCTTATCCAAGCAAAAAATTGTAGTCACATTTGCATGCATTTGTAACTCAGATAGGGGTTGCTGTTGCATGAAACTCTCTTGCATGTTGCCATGGTCACTTTGGTTAATGTATCTGAACATGTAAGCCTTGCACTGGGCTTCATCTGTGCAGAGTGGGGTTCATCATCAATATAAATGATTGCAATTACATTGTTTTTGCTTCCTGTTCCAGCTATGAGTATGTGGTAGTACTATAATGGAGTGTTTATAAGATTGGTCTTGTTGCACAGTTCATTCCATTTCATACTTGTGTTTTGGAAGCTGAAAACACAGGTTCTGTTCAATGTAGTCTTTGCTTCCTCTGCTTTGACAGGGTCATGCCTCATCCACATGCTCTCAACCTGGGCTTCATTGCATGCTTTACAGGCTGCATGATTATCACTTTTTTCACTTGTATTGATAGTGGAGAGTAGCTTGAGGGTAAAAGCATTGTCAGAGGGTTGGTATCCTGGTATAGGTTTCTACATCATTTTATATCATTATGTCTTCCATTCTCCATGAGCACCTCAAACAGGAGTTGATCACTAGTGACATTGTGTTTTCTACGTCAGATAGAGGTGACAATCAAAGTGGGGTTAGTAAAGTCAAAGTCTATACAGCAGTCTCTGTCACCTTGGCACTGAGCAATTATTTCTAGCATTTATACTCTGGAGGGCAGTTGCTTTCATTTTTAATAACCAATCACATGGTGTGCCTGTCCACTGAGAAGGATTACTTTCTTGATTCTGTACATATAATGTTATAGTATTTAGTCTGCAGAATATCTCCAGATTTGTCTCAAGATCTTTCTTTAAATTACCTAGAAGCTCCTTCTGATGTTTTGTGCTCTCATGTATTTTTGACTTATTGTTTCTGAAAACAAATACTGATTTTACTTTGTCTTACTTCATGTTCAGTCTCTTTTCTGGAACTCAACTGAGCCAAATTTTCTATTCTAAGCCTCATAAATATTTTAATATTTGATCCCGTAGTTGTTAGTGAGACAACTCTTGTCAGTCAGTAATTAGTGAATATGAGAAAACCACAGAGGTAATAATGAGACATTTTAGTGCTGTGACCACAAGATTTGTATTTCAGAGATTTCTGATATTTGATGAATGTACTTTCCTTTTGTACTGTTGTATAGAATTAGATGTGTACTACTGTAAAACGTGTAAATGACATTTTCCAGATGAAGGGCTTGTGTACAAGAAGAGAAGTTCAAAATCAATAGTAGACAGTGATCTTAGAAGTGGGGTGTAGGAGAAGTCCTTCTGATGTAGGCCTTTTTTTGATTAAACAAAGGAACATGTCTACACCCATGATCAGTCCAAAAAATCAGGAAGCAGAGCCATAGACTGATACCTTCAGACCTGCTGAACATGTTCTGTCACTTAACATTACTCTTGGTTCATAGAGGGGTATAGATGACTGAGAAAAAAAACAAGATGATTTGCAGACTGCAGGTCCGGAGACCAAGAGTAGGTATCTATAGGATACCCAGACTGTTGCCAGTCAGGGCAATCCAACACCAGTCCTGGTTGTCACCACCTGTGACCATCCAAAAGAGACTGGAGGTGCCACTGGTGGATGTTATCCACTTGTTAGAGCTTTCTCACTGCCAGGAGAGATAACAGAGGTAAGAAATTGTGAATATGGTGACGTGTGTGGTAGATGAGGTTTTCTGCTAGAACCACAGTGGGTGTTAGAGAACCCTGGTTCATGCATAACTGGAATACAAGTTTCTCACAACAGCTCACCTTTCTGGTGCCCAGGAGCAAGGATGAAACATTAATATAAATGTATGTTCCCTTGGCACAAACACTACCCTGTGCCTCTGACATTGTGGTGTCTCTACATGGTGTTGACTAAAATTTCAATACAGATATTTTGTTTCAGAATCTACAGTTCCCTGTGAGCGAGGTGAAGCTCATTGCTCCACCTCTGATATTCAAAAGCACAACTAAAGAAGAATTTGACCACTTTTTTAGTTGTTTCAAGCAAGGGTTTGCTTGGAATG